AGATGAAAACATTTGTGGAAACCAATACATACATACACGCACACTTATTTATATAAAAATAAAAATTACTAAGGCTAAATTTAGTAGTTATTACTCGTTGGACGATTTTAAGAAAGGGTGTATGTGTGTGAACATGCACACACACACATATATATATATATGTGTGTGTGTGTGTGTGTGTGTGTGTGGATGAATTGATACATATTCAAACTGGCAAAATCATAGGCATACTCATCTAGACATCTGTATATGCACAATATTATGAAGAAATTTTTAATGCCCGGTTTTGCAGAGAGGCTTGGACATATGTCTCGAAATATATGTCGAAAAAAAACAAAAACAAAAAAAAAAACTAAAAAAACGAAAAGGATTTTCACTCGGATATCTTGTATAAAAAAAGCTGTTACATCTATCTCGGTTTGTTCATCTATCTATCTACACACAAACATATACATATACATATAAATATAAACTTCGAGTCAGGCTAGCGGTGAGGTATCTATCTATCTATCTATCTATCTATCTATCTATCTATCTATCTATGTATGTATGGGCGTGCGTGCGCGCTCACGCGTGCGCGTGTGTGTACAAACAATATACATAAACCGTCGTTGTGTGTGTTTACATAGTTTTAATGGTGATTGCTATTCGGGGGCATTAAAACGAGATTCGTGTATATATTCTTGTGGCCATGTCTTACACACACACACACATAGATAGATAGATAGATAGATAGATAGATAGATAGATAGATAGATAGATATGAACAGACTCAAATCGATATGAACAAACTGGGATAGATAGATAGATAGATAGATAGATAGATAGATAGATAGATAGATAGATAGATAGGATAGGATATGAACAGACCGAAAAAGACGGATAGATATATCGAAATATATAAAAGCACCGAGATAGATAGATAGATAGATAGACAGACAGACAGACAGATAATTTCGGAAAGTAAAAACTGTATATTTTCTATAATTTTACACATACACACAAGTACAGACACGCACATATCTTTAATAGCATAATATACACACGCGGTTATTATCACTCCTTGAAATCCTTAAACCAGACATCTATATATATATATATATATATATATATATATATATATATATATATGGGTGTGTATATGGGTGTGTTTATGTGTTTGTGTAAAAGGTTTGTTTTGTTTTTGTTTTTTTTGTTGGCATATTTCTCTCTCGAGTGAAAATATCTACTCATAAATAAAAGATAAAAGCTTTTATACATATTATTGCAAAAGTTAAATTCACAGCAGTTTGTGAGCGTCCGCATTTGGTGTATATATATTTACACACACATATATATATATATATATATATATATATATATATATATATATATATATTGTTGCTTATGTACATGTGTGTTTATCTATATATCAAATGTAACAACACACTGAAAAGTACGGAAAATTGCAGAAAACGCACTGTAACAAACAATAACATCAAACTCTAAGAGAAAAAAAAGACGTGAGATTATTATTATTGATATATATATATATATATATATATATATATATATATATATATATATATATATATATATATATATGTATGTATGTATGTATGTATGTATGTATGTATGTATATTGTTGTCTTTTTAGATCAGAAAAATATATGAAAAACAATTGTCAGCCCAAGAATGATAACTAGAGATATATTTAAGTAACTGATCGTGTAAAAAAAAAGAAAAGAAAGATATATATATATAAGTAAATAAGTACCGGCGGTTGTTGTTCGTCCACCATCCAGTTTAGTGACTGAACCATCGCTGCTAGTAAAATCCACTATGGCAGGCGTACAGGCAAAAAGACTGGCACAGAAAGGAAGAAAGGGAGAAAGAGGGAAACTGAATAAGAGAGAGAGAGAGGGGGGGAGGGGGAACTAAATAGATAAAAGAAAGTATAAGCTTGAGAGAGGAAGTGGGAGTAAACGAAGCCTTCTTATATTGTATCGTCTGCTTTTATTCATTGCTATTCTACGTTGGTGAGGCTTGCACACAATCGCATATACAAGCTTGGTTTATAAACTTTATAGACACATTAAATATGAGAGATGAGGAACGCGCACTCACACACACGCATTTCTTTTTTCTTTCTTTCCTCCTCTCATCACCTTCTTCTGGCACTACAGCTACTACTACTACTACGTGCAGCTCCTCCTACAATCACCCCCTCTTTTTCATCCTCTTACTCACCCTATTACATTTTTTACGTATCTCCCTGCTTCCCCGCTCTGTATCTTCAACACAGTTAATAGCAGTAAACAGAAAGGGTAAAACAGAAGACAGGGAGTGGGGAGAGTAAGAGAGTGAGTGTCAGGTGAAGGTTAATAAATGAGGTGGGGAGAGGAAGGAAGAGAAGAGTAAGGTAGCGCAGAGCTTGTGCTTGGAGATAGACGGCAGTTTTAGATGAGGAAGGACTGCTATTGCTGACTGTTGTTATAGTAGCAGCAATAACAACGTACATAGTTGCTGTTGGCTTTAATGATGATGAAGATTTGCCACTGATGGTCTTGATGGTGTGTGGAAGGGAAGAAGTTAGGGCAAACAATGAGAGAGAGAGAGAGAGAGAGAGAGAGAGAGAGGGGGGGATAAGGGTAGAGTAGAAAAAATCCCAAAGTGTGGGAGTTTTTAATACAGGAATTATCAGGAACCGACAGAGGGTTGGATTGGAAAGAAAAAAAATGGGAATATTTCTCTTCCGATAACTTACATTTGTTGATATCTTTCGGATTTCACTCTCTCTGTATATATATATATATATATATATATATATACACACACACACACACACACACATATATATATATATATATATATATATGTGTGTGTGTGTGTGTGTGTGTGTGTGTTAATGTGATTAATAGAGAAATCACTTCGCTAACAGGACTTAATGAGACATTAACTTACTATCAATTCCTTGAATAATAAGATCCTTATATTCGAGTTGTTGTCAGATGGAAGACACATGCCAAGTACTTTCGATAATTTCAAATTGTCATCTTCAGGGCACAATTTTCACACACATAATTCCCCCCCACCACATATATATATAATAAAAAGGCTTAAACACTAATATTCCATGGTCATAATTTATTATAAAAAGGCTTAAACACTAATATTAGTGTTTAAGCTTTTTTTTATTGTATCCTTACTCTGTCCTGGACATTGAGTTCTACCTGGATTCTATCCTCTTGGAATTTTTTATTCAAAAAATATAGATGTATGTGTATGCACCTATGTATATATATTTATATATTTTGCATATGTATGTGTATTTTACCACTAATATATATATATATATATATATATATATATATATATATATATATATATGTATGTGTGTGTGTGTGTGTGTGTGTGTGTGTGTGTGTGTGAAAAGAGTGCAAAATGTTAATAGGAGTCTATACTACGAGTTGGTTCTATTTTATTTTAGCGATCGGAGGGTTTTTTTATATTTTTAAACAAGTTTAAGGTCGTGTTTACAAAATGGATCTCTTTCTTCAGAAGGCACGCGTTCTTGATGCAACGTTTTGTGCTTGGGAACTAATCACCCGGTGATCGGGGCGTGTGTGTCTCTGTGTGTATGTGGAGGGGGGAATAAAAATGTATTGTTTGTAGAGTGACAGCATATCTTAATAACTTGTAAGCGGGAAATCAGACAACAGATACGCTATCATTGACGCCACGAGCCTACTAAAAATAGTTCCATAATAGATGTATTCCATTAACGAGTGGTTTAAAAAAAAAAACGAATTGTTAAATCGACCTTCTTCGATCAATCAGTCCCGGTAAAAAAAAATTAAGCACGAATCACTTAAGTAACAATGCAGGCACTAAGCAAGTATGTCAATAAGCTGTCATATCTTTCCGACTTATTGGCGCAATCAAGTCTTCCTAACTCTCATGTTTTTATCAGCATCTGACCTTGTTCAGTTAAACGTAGTAAATATTTAAACAAATGCCTTTCCGCTAAATTGGAGAATATTATTTTAAACAACTCACAAAATTCACTAATTTAAGTACAGTTCTGATTTTCTAAATTCACTTTGCTATTTAAGGTCTCCACAATTTTGTTATTATCCCAGTATTTCCATAACAGCACCCGAGAAATATAGTGGGATAATTTTCTGTTGTTTTACTCTCATCTACGACCTTTAAAAATGTAAATGCTACCGCAGTCGTAATAATTTGTCATTTTTAAAATTCCCCTTACTTTATTGTTCTTTTTCATCAATAACGTTTTCTCTGTTTCTTTCATTCTCATTAAAATCTTCCGTCTTAGTGGCTTTATCGCCTTGCTTGGGGGTGAAATATATATATTTTTTTTAAGTATCTTCTTAGACATGTATCGGATGTGGCTTTGCCTAAGCCATCATATTCTTTCACTCCATGCACGGCAGAATGCAAGAGATAGTGGAGCAATTTACATTTGTTTTACTCCACGGTTTTGAATTTACAGTTGTTCTTCTCCTAGACTGGTTACCAACGAAGGGTAGAGGGCATATTCAGCAAAATAGACACGAATAAACGGATACACGTGTTTCCCGAGAATACGATGGAGAAAAGTAACTAGCTCAGCCAGGAAGTGAACGCGGTTCGCTGAGAACATTTTGTTCAAGTCGTTTATCGTTTATTCTCTCACGCCTCCTCGGATTTGATTATAAAATTAACTTTAGTTAAAAGTAGAAACATACATTCAATCGATAGCAAAATGATTTTGTGGATTATTTTCGTAAATCGTTGTGAGTAATCGACTGAGTTTGAGTCTATGAGGTGTTATCTAGACGGAAAATCTGTCAGATGTGTGTACTAGTTACAATTTTCGTTGTAAAATCCAATGTACCCACGGTTTGATATTTAGGTTAGAGCAAGGAAAAAAAAAACAAAAAAACAAAAAACGATTCTTTCGATTAAAGGGTTACGTGCGGAAGTGGATGCTTTCAATTCACGTTTCTGAAAGGGAGACGAGACTGTGGGTAAAATTCATTCACTTGTAAACTCAGTGATTATCGATAAATGCTGAGTATCGATTTGTATATTGAATGATTGTGGTGTGAATTAGCTCAGTGGAAGAGAGAGGGACGGGAGTGAAAGAAAGAGAAAGAGGTTCTTACATTACTCTGCCTTCTTTTTTCTTCGTGCACCGTGTCACCTCAGGACGTAGGCGATCATGGCTCTCCACAATTTTCTGTCTTTTGTAACTCTTAATAAACTTTGTCTTTCTGTTATTTCTCCTAAACTCTGTTCCGCCATCCATTTAAGTATGTTATGCGTTGTTTTTCTCTGTCTCTCTTGTCTTCACTCAGTCCTGTGAGTACCAGATTTTCCAAGCCCTCTTTCCTCATAATGTGCCCTAGAAATTTCAGCTGTCTCTTCCTGATGTTAAGTATAAGTTTCTTTCCCAAAAGTTTGTTGGGTCCGAACGAATTTTTGAACAGCCATTTTCAAGGATTATTTTCGGTGATATTTTTTATTTCTTCATTTTTTTTTATTATGGCCAATACATTGTAGCCGTGATTATAATTAATGTGATGTAATTTAATGTTATTGTAATGCTATGTTTATTTATGTGTTTTTTTTTATAATAAGGGCTTACGTCACATTTAAAGCTTTCTTGAAGGGACAGGTGTGCAACATGGATTGCTGGAAAAGGCGTTTACGAAATTCTAGAGCCGGGATGTAAGAAGAAAATCAATCAGCTAAAGGACTAATTTTACATTTGTATTAATCCGATCTATCTATCTATCTATCTATCTATCTATCTATCTATCTATCTATCTATCTATCTATCTCAAAAAGTTAATTATCTATCTATCTATCTATCTATCTATCTATCTATCTATCTATCTATCTATCTATGTGTGTGTGTTTGTGTATGTGTGTGTGTAAGCCATGGCCACAAGAATATATACATGAATCTCGTTGTAATGCCACCGAATAGCAATCACCATTAAAACTATGTATTGTAAACACACACAACGACGGTTTATGTATATTGTTTGTACACACACGCGCACGCGTGCGCGCGCACGCACGCCCATAGATAGATAGATAGATAGATAGATAGATAGATAGATAGATAGATAGATAGATAGATACCTCACCGCTAGCCTGACTCGAAGTTTATATGTATATGTATATGTTTGTGTGTAGATAGATAGATGAACAAACCGAGATAGATGTAACAGCTTTTTTTATACAAGATATCCGAGTGAAAATCCTTTTCGTTTTTTAGTTTGTTTTTTTTTCCACATATATTTCGAGACAAATGTCCAAGCCGCTCTGCAAAACCGGGCATTAAAAATTTAAAAAATCTTATTTCTCTCTCTCTCTCTCTCTCTCTCTCTCTCTCTATATATATATATATATATATATATATATATATATATATATATATATATATATATAAAGAAAAATGTAAGAATGGTATTAAGACTAAATAAAAGATAATTCAATTTTCCTTGTCTCTCATATTCAACACATGTTTAAAAGAAATGCGGTTGCCCAAATATATATTAATCTATCTATCTATCTATCTATCTATCTATCTATCTATCTATCTATATGTATGTATCTGTTCTTATGTACATCGTCTTTGTCATGTTGTATTGATAATGTTTTAATTTATGAATATGTCCTGAAGATGGTTTATTAGACCGAAACGTCCGACGTTGACATATTAACATTAAAACAGTATAATTGTATATAAGGATTTTTGTTTGTTTTTTCCGTATATATTTTTCTTCATACTGTCGGATCTATATCCATATATTTGCTTATATATATATATATATATATATATATATATATATATATATATATATATATATATATATATATATTTACAGGGTCTAACAGCAAAATCACATATATATACTTTATAGCTGGCCACTGTATTCACTATTGCTGACGCTTGCTCAGGGCGCATTTGTGTTTATTCAGCATCCACAGGGCCAACTTCTGTGGTTTATATTGCAACTATGCTGAGCAGACCTTAGTTACAGTTTCTGGGAAAGAGCGTGTTATCTAGCGTGATCAACAATTTTAACAAGGCCATCACGCTCAAGCCCTCGGCCACGATGACTTGCGACTTCGTGCTAGAACAGCTATTGGCGGTCCCCAATCATTCCGTCTACTCAATTTCACTCACAAGGCTTGGTGAGATTCGTATCCATGGTCAGAATACGAACACTTAACTATTCGACCATATATATATATATATATATATATATATATATATATATATATATATGAAGAAATATAGTTTTTATGGTGTGCTGTATTTGCGGGATAAAGTACCCAGTAAAGAGATAGAGCGTATGTAAATATAAATAAAAGGAACATTGAAGTCAATCAATTGCGTCCAGCATGAAACAGCCTGTAGCCCTGAGTGTTGACTTTCAATGTTCACTTTATATATATATATATATATATGTGAAAAAGTGTGTATATAAATATAAATAA